TTCAGTGTAAGAAAAATCTAAGTAAATGACTACAGGAAGTTTAAAGAACAAAAATCACAATTCTTACAATAGAAGAGATAAAGCATTTTAAAACCCAATATTATACAAACAAGGGCACTAACAATCTGAAAGAGAACCAAAGGGGTCTTTAGGCAGAAATTGATAATAGACAATCTAAGAGGAATTTGAAACTAGGAAATGCAGAAGTTCTTGTTGCCTGGCACTATTCTGATTTCATATCCTACAGCAGTTCTTACCCAAGCAATAAATAGAAATGAATACAATTGTTTAGAAGTAAAAAGTGACTACAAAGGATAAATTGATGATAGCTAACAGATATGCAACATAAAAAGGGATTATTTACTAACTTTAAAATGTTATTTTGAGAAGCTAAACATGTGCTATTTTTTCTCAAAGTGAATTTAAATGACTTCAGCTTTTATTTAGGTCTGTGGTTGAGTATAACGGCCTTGCAAGTTCAAACTTATGCCCTATTTTATTATTCTAGTATCTACTCTGCAGAAAAAGAGTTAACAAGCAAATTATTGGTTTTATAGTAACATGTCCTCCAATGTAGTTTCTATTATTAATAAAGTAAGTAGTTTTTTCTCCATCCGTTGACTGTTTTATCTCAGTTTTCAATTAGATTTAAACTCAAGAGAGGAAGAGGGCTGCTAATTAGTAAGATCTTATCAAATAGTTTATATTTTCATGGCATATAAACAACCAGTTCTATCTTTATGGAAAGTAAGCCAAAATAGATCCTATTTCATGTAGCAAATATAATCTGATATAATTTCCTAAATTAAGACATCAATAATTCATAATCTCCAACTAAAATATAATAAATCTAGGAATTTGGAATAAAATCACAAAGCTAAAGCTTACAAAGAAAATTTAAAATAAAAATAATTTTCTTAAACACAAAAAAGATATTTTTGGCAACTCAATGTATAAAGTTGCTATAGCAGAACAAAATGCAGAATATTTGTTGGTTTGGTTTGTTGTTATTGCTGCTGTTGTTGTCGTTGTTTGAGACAGGGTCTCACTATGTAGTTGAGACTGACCTGGAATTCACTATGTAACTCAGGCTGGTCTCGAACTCACAGTGATCCTCCTGCCTCAACCTCCCCAGTGCTGGGATTACAGGCATGCGCCACCACGCCTGGCCAATGCAGAATATTTGATTCAGTGACTATAACTATTTTTTAATAAACATTGTAATTTTTATATCTATATACTCTGAGTCTTCTAAGTAAATATTCTTTTCTGATAATTCACATATAAATTTATGTTAAATTCAGTGTCCCAAAGAAGACAGGGAAAAGAAACAGCATACACTTTACAGTTACTACTTTTAAGGTCAACCCCCAGAATTTCTTTTTTTTTTTTTTTTTTTTTTTTTTTTTTTTTTT